GACAAAATCGGGTCATTACTGTATTTAAAATAAATAAATTCATTCTTACCTTTTTATGGTTGTTTGATTATTAATTGCTATTATTACCATTATTACCTGCTTAGAGTTGGCTCCTTTAAAATACTGTGTAGAATTTACCTCATTATTCCTCAGTTCTATCGATTTGTGATAGAACCACGCTCAGCATATTATCCTGTAGTACTACTTGGGCATGCACCATGCAAGTAACTCATCTCTCGTCAAAATGATGGGATATGGGGTGATGGTGAAGGGATATAGAAAACGAATAAAAGAACAGAGAGAAAGTTATTAGTATTGGTTACCCCCCCCCCCCCCCCCACACACACACACACACACACAATAGTCACTAAAACACTACCGCCAACTGTTGAGTAGCATGTGACGGATAGTACGCTGAACAGATGGCGCTAGTGCGCAGACGTCAAACGCAAGGGAACCGACCGTGCGCGCCACAGGTGGCGGCACCACCAACGAAAAACACCCGAATTCAAATGCGTATTCGATGAACAACCTGTCCAACCGAGTGTTATGTCTGTTTGTCTGTGATAGATGGGTTATTAGGAAAGTACAACTACATTATAACGATTAGTGCAATGGATGAACGTTAGTTTCGGGGTCATGTTAGTGTTAGAGTTTTGTTAGTATTGACCCGTATTCAGCCCTGTCGGCCCCTCGAACACTAGTCGCAGGCAGTTGTTGTTAGGACATGCGATGCGACACTGTCACTGCTACTATGTTAGAGGTATGACCCGTCAAGTTTCGAAGTGCAAGAAAAAAACTGTTAGAACTTTCTTATAAATTAACTTTACACTCAAAGCAAACTATTTACCTTAGCATTACAAAAGCGAATTTAAAATTACTATTTTATTTTATGCTAATATTAAAATTATGATAAAACTACAATTTACGGCTCCGTGAAATTAAATCGCATGAACCTTTCAAATCAATGAACTGGAGAAAAACTACAATTTTATCAAATTGCAAAAAAAAAAAATCATAGCGACACTTGACAAATCATCATCAAGCCCCTCATCCTTGGACAGGGATAACATAAATTGAACTTTGAAGCTTATTCGGAAGATGCTTTGAATTAGTAGTAAGTTTTAAGGCTGAATGTCGGGGCCACGTGAGCATTCCTGACATTGCTGAAAATTATGATAGCATTAGATTGCGGGGTTGCTAGTGTAATAGGATGCTTTGTTGGTTATTCATGAACTCTTGAATTTCCGGGGCAAGTCGGAAGAAACTTTCATAGTAAGTCGGCAAACATATTCGGGGCTAGTCCGTAGGGCTTGTGGAGAAACCTCGAAAGAGCTGCCAGGAGAAATCGTAAGAATCGTCCGATGTTAGTTAGAAGAAACTTTCAGAGCAAGTCTGGAAAAAGCTCCTAGACGGTGCCGATGAAAACTACATGAGGAAGCCAGAAGCACTTCTGGAGGAAACCGGAATCAACTAACAAATGAAATTGTAGGTCTTCCTGTGGAAGTGAGATAAAAAAGCGGTACATTTCAAACTTCATTTGCAAACGCAATTCGCTACAAAATGACGAAAAAGAAGAAACGAAAGCCAAAACGACTTGTAAATGCAATCAAAAATTAAATAAGAGTATTTGAAAATTTGTATGCAGGGGTTTTTGGGGCAGGGAAAGGTTCTTATGACGGTTCGAGACTCCCCCCGCCCTCTGAGAAGGGGGGAAACAGAAATTTCTGCATAACTCAAGAACTAATCAAGCAAATGGAACCAAATAGATGTTAAGCCCGATCTACCGTGATCGGTATAATTCGCGAGTTTATATTCACCACACTGACCCTTGTGTATCATTCTATATACACAGGGCAGTTAGTTAGATATCGATCCTGCGCGCATTCACATCGAATAAAGTGATTTTGCGAAAACCTTATCGAGCTAAATAAAGGTCAATTTTCTTTTGTTCGGTTCACGTATCCAACGTTAGTGAATTCCTCCAAATTCCGAATCCAGGGATATTCCAACGGTACCGGTAAGAACAAATGTTTTTTCTTTGTCCTGATGCAGTGTTCAGCTACCAGGATTAAGTTTGACTACATAAATTGTAATTACAATTAGTTTATTGATTATTTTTGAAATTACTGGATATTTTGTCATGGATAATTCAACGAATTTTGCAAAGAAAGTACTAATAAATACAGTTAGTTTCTTATTGTAAAACGTAAGAAATTATGAAGGATCTTACCGGCATTTTTAAGTAGATTTGGCAACACTGACTTCCTTAATGAGATACAGATGGTGGTAAGCTCCAACCGGTATTATCCTCGGATTAAATCCCGATCAAGAATGTCCGGCTGGTTTGATGTCTACATCAGAGTTAATCAACATAATTCTGAGCAAACATTTTTCAGATCATACAAACAGGGACGGTATTAAAAGTTAATCCGAGTTGGAGCTTACCGCCAAGAGAGAATCCACACGGCGATTTTTTTTTTAAATCAAATTTGTATGTTTTGTGGAAGCTGACATTTGAACACGGCGAATGAGAACGACCCAAATTTGAGTTTAGTTCACTAATAATCGCCAAAAGTGCAGGAACTCAGCTCCTGCACTTTTGGCGATTATGAGTGAACTAAACTCAAATTTGGGTCGTTCCCATTCGCCGTGCAGTTACCATTTTTCCTGTCTTGCCCATTTCCAACGGTTTTTTTTCTATAGAGATTTGCCACACGCACACACACAATGATTATTTTTTCTTTGATAACATCACATTCACTTGATTCACATCTTCTATATCGGACATATTTCAATATTTTTCATTCAAAGAGAACAACCTAAGTGGAACACAAACGCGCAGATCCAACGATGAGCCAGCTTTTTTCTACAAAATTAACACTTTTTTACACTTGGATGCTTCAGAGCAAAACTAAATTCAATCGCCATGATTGAGTGAAAGAATAAAACGGGATCTTCCTTCGAAATTTTTGAAAAAGCACGATTGTGAGTAGCGCCCAGCGCAACTTTCACACGACCACACACGAACAAGTCCAGACGCAACTGAGCAGCAGAGATGCCAGATTTTTTTTTTCAGAACTCTGCGAAAAATGTCTGTGAATTTCAGAAATGTATGTAAAATGTAAATCGACATTGAGCATTCATAAAGTGAACCCTACACGATTGCTTTTATTGACAATAATCGTATTGTCAATACATGCTATATTGACGTTAATATATCGAGATTGACAATATTTCTGAATTCACATCATCAATATTATTGTCAATAATTCCCCTTCGCGTCAATATATTGATGCGTGTGGGGTTTGCTTAAGGGCGTATAAGCGATGATCGATTCTCTTCATCGATTTTCTCTTTTGTTATTAACTCGCTAGATTTAACGTTTATCGGTACGTTTGCTGTTGCTTTTGATAGCCAGTACAACCTCTTATAACTCTGCATTGAACAAATTCTAAAAAATTGTTTCGCTTAGCTGGAGCAATGCAAAGAGAAAAACGATGAAGAGAATCGATCATCGCGTATACGCCCTTAAGCAAGCTCACTGTCGAAATGTATAATGCGAAATATCTATAATCGTTACCTGTCATGATACTTATAGAGATGTGACCCGATATAAGGGAAATGACCGATAAAAACAATGTTATTTGTTTTTAGAGATTTAAGCACGATTATATCGGATGAATCCGATAAAATGGATTTCTCCGACTATAAATCAATAAATCAAACTTTAGAGTATTTTTTGGCAAATTTTGAATAAATCTTGGACTTTCGTGTCCCTCGATTTCATTAACAGTTTACGTTTACGCCCTTATGAATGCTCACTGTCGAACTTTTTCAGTGACAGTGTCTATATATAACAGTGACAGCTCGTTCATGTGGTGGATTTGAAAACGCACCAATTCTTAATGCGTGTTGCAAAATACATCGCACGTGTAATTTGATTACAGATGTAAAACAGTGTAACACAATAAATTTAGCATACACAGCAAAAAAAAAATGTAATATCGATCAACGTAATTCAAGCTGATGTATGAAATAATGATGTAATAGCAAAAAGCAGATACAATATTACATCAATGGATGTAATTTTGTTCGCAAAATCGATGTACATCGTACAATGTGATATTACACAACCGATGGATTGACCTGGTTGCATCAGTTTCGATGTAATATTCAACAACTTTTTTTGCTGTGTATATAAACAGTTTCTTATGGGGATTTTTGGTGGAGTGAAAGAATAGTACAAAGTCCGCCATGGTTCACGCACAGTCTGACGATTGCTTATGGATTTTCTCATAGGAGTAAAGAGGTGAGGTACACAGTCGCCGTCAACGCCAATAGGGCTGCAAAATGAAATCTATCTTTGCAAAAAAAACTTTCCATCTTCGTTTTTTTATAGAAAATTTGTGATGATAATATTGGACGTTTGCGTGATCATTGCTAGACAGCCAATATTAATTTATATCAGTCTTGAACGTAGTAGAATTTTTATCAAATATAATATTAAAAAAAAAAAAAATTGATTTTTTGCATTCCAGTTCATTTCATATTTTTTTACAGTGCAGCGTTGAACCGAGTTTGAAATCATTCAACACTAACATATCAATTAGGCGAAGCTAATTTTTTAAGCAATGTTTTCGATTTCTCTCAACAAAACACGACTTGCTGGCAAAGATGACATTTTTCTTCCTAATTAAGTTTTTGTTCATATGGCTGGGCTTTCAATTGATGAAAAATGTGCAATTAAAGCTTATTGCCATGATATCGCTTTCGCCTTTTTGAAATCTCTGCATCGATGCTTTGAAACATTTCAGTGTAGAAGCTGCTCACTGCTCACATCCCTGTTTGTTATTTTGCTGACGTTGTAGTTGCATCTGTCAAACGGACGAAGATGCATTTTTATGTGTGTGTGGGCGTGCATTTATGAATGAAAGCTGCCAAGTGCATTCGTTCTCGCTGTGTTTTCTCCATCTGTTTCAGTTATAGAAAAGAGTCTGTGGAATCTTCCTAGACAAGTTAGTGCTATTCGGTTCCTTATCAGACGATTGTTTTACAGATAAGAAGAATGTAAATACAATGGCCCCATCTGGATTCGGTCCTTGTCGTCTGGTGCTGGTGAAATAGAGAAGAAAAATTTTCACATTGAGGTCACAAACATCTGCTGCGTCGTCATCGATTTGCTCGCCTCTGTGGGGAAACAACTAGGATGTTCTCCGTGTTCAAGAAATTGGCCACGAAGAGCGATGGCCCCGGAGGAGGTGTTGGTGCTGGTGGGGGTTCGACCCTGCCCGGATCCGTCGGTCAACAAATGTCCGATTCGCTGAGGAAGAAGTTCTCACGTGGGGTGCAGTACAACAGTGAGTATAACAAGGGATTTTCTTTGGTTCGTGAGAATGCAGCAGCTAATGGCCTCTTTTGTTTCGCAGTGAAAGTTATAATCAAGGGCGATCGAAATGTGGGGAAATCGTGTCTTCTGGAGCGGCTTCAGGGTAAAGCTTTCCTTGAGCAGTACAATCCGACGGATCAAATTCAGGTGGCTTCGATTCAATGGTCCTTCAAGGCCACGGACGACATTGTCAAGGTCGAGGTTTGGGATGTTGTAGACCGGGGAAAATCCAAACAGAAAGCTGGTGGACTGAAGCTGAACACTGATGCCCTGGCGGAGGAGATCCCGGTGCTTGATGCGGAGTTCCTGGATGTCTACAAGGGAACCCACTGTGTCATCATAATGATGGACATTACCAAGGCATGGACGTTCGATTATGTGTGCAGAGAGTTGCCAAAGGTGCCGGGTGAGATTCCGGTGCTGCTGCTGGGGAATCACTGTGATATGGGTCATCATCGAGTCATCAGCAAGGACCAGATCCAAGGTTTCATCGAAGAAGCAAGTCAACACCGAACGGCAGAGATAGTCTACGGCGATAGTTCCATGAGAAACGGGTTTGGACTGCGATTGCTGCACAAGTTCTTTGGCATTCCGTTCCTGTATTTGCAGAGAAGCGCCCTTGAGGCATCAATGAAGAAAAATGAGCAAGATGCTGACATTTGTCGGCTAGAGATTACGGAATTTCTGGTGAGTACTCACGATATTCTTGCTTTTTTTTCTTTTGTTACTGAGCTTATCTGTGTGTTTGATAGAAATCCGACGAATCCGATTACAGCAACTTTTTGGAGAATCTTATTAGTCGTAAAAAGCCACAACCTGTTTCGGCCCCGTCCACTCCCCTGGAGCAAATGCCCCGTCCGACAAAGAGTATAATTCTAGGTGGTGGCCATCCCATTATCGTACCGGATAAGAACAGTCACTTAGCCGTCGCTTCGACCTCTACCGTGAACACTGCAAAACTTGCCTCGCCAGGAGGTAAAAAGCTAGCGACGCCCTTGGCGCACAAGTCACAGAGTGTGGAAGCCTTGCGGATCCCGAAGAGTGCTACCATGGGTTCGATTCCGGTGGAGGGTAGCAGCAGTGGCTTCGTGGCCACTGGTGGCGGTGGTGCTTTAGGATCTCCAGGCGGCAAAATCAGCAACGTTGATGAGTTCTGTCCAGATGGTGGCGTTCTGGACAAATCCTTCCTTGATGACGCTATAGACGGTCCAGTCGGAATGCCAGAGTCAAACCCGGTGCAGGACACTGACAGTGAGGATGATAGTCACCATAATCCTCTAGTTTCCCGATTTGATGATGAATTCGTTGGCGATGGTGCCGATCAAACGAACGAACGTTCTACCACGTCGATGATTGTAGCAAATTCACCCAAAAGATCGAACCCTTTGCGACATGACCTTACCCCTTCTCCCAATCCGGTAGTTGTGGACCGAGCATACTCCCTGTCCAGCATGGAGCTGGAAATCGATCGAGTAGATCCGACAAATGCCGATTCAGGATCGTTGAACGATAGTGAGAGTTGGTCTCTTGACACTAAGGAGCGACGATCGCCAGAAGGTGGTGAGGATGTCGGCTCGAACGTGTCCATCACCTGCTCCAAGAGCAGCAGCGTTGGGAAGAAGGTATGTTGTTTCCTTCGTCCTGGTCCATTTACGATAACCTATGTACATACATTCATTTCCATCTCACAGAGTAAAGATAAGGACAAAGATAAGGAACGCAGCAGTAAGCACAAAAAGTCAAAGAAATCCAGCCGGGAGAAGGACGAACCGCGAGACGAACGACGGCGGAGTAAGCGCAAGAGTCACGTCGATGAGTTTGTGCAGGAGATGAAGACGAGCGTCGATTACTGCGAGGAAGCCTACGAAGCGATCTGAGACTTACGAATTTGAGCAGGTGTTCCACTAAAATGCTCTTCAGTTGCTAATTTTTTCTTCTTTTTTTGATGTATACCAACCTATTTCAAACATATTATACTCGATTTTTTTTGTTAATTTTAAGATAACTTAAATTGTGAGAAACTTAAATAACAAAGTGAATGTTTTATTATTCCGCGCCTATTGGATAGTGCAGTTGGTGTAATATCTTTGGAAGTGCATAACTACCCGCAGAAAAATGCAATTATTATAGTATATTGAAATATAAATCAAATGTAAACCCTAACCACTCGATGTAGTTGAAAGTGCATGAAAAGAAGAAACATTTTATTAAAAGTTATCTGCTGCAAAAGTTGACGAGTTGTATGCATTTCTTCGAAATTCCGCAATTAAATTATCAAAAAGGCAACTGGTATGGTACGTTGCACGTTTAGAGGAAGGTGGAGTTTGCTAGGGGCAAGAGTTTACCGTCCATACGAATTTGCAAAATGCATTATGGTCTAGGGCTGTGCAGTACTCCGACTCCAACCGAATCATAATTTTAAACTTAATACACGTTCAACTTTTTTGACTCATAACAATTGGGTTCTTTAGAGGTGTTCGAAATCTGCATTAAAAATGCAACCGAAATCCATTCTTTCATCAATTTTGGTACACTGCAACATCTTAGTAGTATCCTACAACGATAATGTGATTATGTGCGAGCGGAACAGTATAGCTTCTCATCGAATACCATTCCAAGGTTTTTTTTTTTTTTTTTTTTGCTTTATTAGAGAGATTTTCAGCCTTGGGCTGGTTCATCTCTTAATCCATTCCAAGGTATGTAACTTCGGCAGACCACTCAACCCATGATTACAGCACAAGATGGAGCCAGTTTTAGTTTGAGCGATTGTCAATGGTGGAACATGATTGCTTGAGTTTTAAAGGCATTGATTTTAATATTCCAGGTGTTTGCATAACCAGCAAAGACTTTAAGGCATCGTTGAAGTTTGTTCGTTATTTCGCGACGGCTATTGCGGTATCATCTGCGAACAGGAAAGACACGCAACCGTCTCCGAGGAGAGGAATGTCGGAAGTGTAAAAGCTGTAAATCAAGGGTCCCAGCAGACTGCCTTGCGGGACTCCTGCTGGGATGGAAAACGTGTCTGAAAGACAATCATTCAACGATACCTTAAATGACCTTTGCTGGAGGTAGTTACGGGTGATTTTAACCAGATGTAATGGGAAGTTGAAGTTACAAAGCTTGTACACAAGTCCGTCATGCCACCAGACATTGTCAAATGCCTTTTCAACGTCTAGCAAGGCTGTGGACTTGGATATAGTTTTGTTACTTCGGATGTTATTCATCACCCGTACCTGGTGATTGGTGGAGTGCCCCTTGCATGAGTTTCTCAAACAATTTGCTCAGCGCTGAAAGGAGGCTGATTGGTCTAAGCTTGATGACATTGTTGGGTCCTTACCGGGTACTTTCCTCGGTATTTACAACTTTATATTTTTTCCAGGGTTGTTGGGCCAGCACAGCTCTGTTTGGAGTCCCACGCTGGCACTAGGACGGTGATCGGCCGCTTCTAACATGGAGAACAGACGCCGTTTTGAGCCGTGCCTCCATGGTGAACAGACGCTCGGGTTTGGTGAAGCATTTCCTCCATTATAGTACGTTCAGACTACATAGTTATAACATGTTATAGCGCTATCTTGATGGTGGTCTCTGTGTTGCAATTATTTGACAACCGTTATAACATGTTATAACTCTATAGTCTGAACAAGGCATTTAACGCTGTCCAGACTGGAGAGTTATAACATGTTATAACGGTTGTCAAATAATTGCAACACAGAGACCACCATCAAGATAGCGCTATAACATGTTATAACTATGTAGTCTGAACGTACTATTACCGTACACTGTGGTTACCGCGCCAGTGCACAGTCGGACCATTCTGAAAAAAAGACGGTCAATACCTTTTTCTCCCCTTTATCTTCGTTTTAAAGACTTGGTGTCTTTTTGATAATTGCGTATAAAAGGCAGTATACTTGATGGTACCAAGAAGTTTCTCGTAATAATGGTCCGAGTCTTTTGAAATAATTACCTAAATATTTATTAAGCTGGTATTACACTTGCAAAAACTATTTTTTACTGGTTCGAAATAATAGCTTTATGTCTTCGGCAATGTTGTAGAAAAACAAATGTTATGAAACTTTGCTCAAGACACCAAGCTTCTATATCTTTATCTTTACAAGATTTAAGTGAATTCTTGACAGGAGCACCTTAAAATCGCTTTTTTTTGTCATTTTGTCACCCCTCATTTTGAAGGTGTGTGTGTGTAGAATGTTGCTCCTATTTTGATTTTGGAATTCACTCTTCAGTTGTCAAAATGCCGTCCAAGCAAGAAGAGCAGCGTATCAAAATTTTGCTCGCGCATCGCGAAAATCCGAGCTACTCGCACGCAAAGTTGGCAAAATCGCTAAAAGTTGCCAAATCAACCGTTACAAATGTAATTAAAGTGTTTGGGGAACGTTTGTCGACAGCCAGGAAGTCTGGATCGGGGGGAAATCGAAAACCGGAAGCCGCTGAGACGACAAAGAGAGTTGCCGGTAGTTTCAAGCGAAACCCTAACCTCTCTCTCCGAGATGCCGCAAATAAGCTGGGTGTATCGTCTACAACCGTGCATCGAGCCAAAAAACGAGCCGGACTATCGACTTACAAGAAGGTAGTGACTCCAAATCGCGATGATAAACAAAATACGACGGCCAAAGTGCGATCCCGGAGGCTGTACACGACGATGCTGACGAAGTTTGACTGCGTGGTAATGGACGACGAAACCTACGTCAAAGCCGACTACAAGCAGCTTCCGGGACAGGAGTTTTATACGGCAAAAGGAAGGGGAAAGGTAGCAGATGTTTTCAAGCACATGAAACTGTCAAAGTTTGCAAAGAAATATCTGGTTTGGCAAGCCATCTGTACCTGTGGCTTGAAAAGCAGCATTTTCATAGCTTCCGGGACTGTCAACCAAGAAATTTACGTGAAAGAGTGTTTGAATAAACGTCTGCTGCCTTTCCTGAAGAAACACGGTTGTTCCGTACTGTTTTGGCCGGATTTGGCATCTTGCCATTACGGTAAAAAGGCCATGGAGTGGTACGCCGCCTACAACGTGCAGGTGGTTCCCAAGGACAAGAACCCTCCCAACACGCCAGAGCTCCGCCCAATTGAGAAATGCTGGGCTATTGTCAAGCGGAACCTAAAGAAGACCAAAAAAACTGCTAAGGGCGAGCAGCAGTTCAAGGCAAACTGGCTTTCTGCGGCGAAGAAGGTGGACAAGGTGGCTGTACAAAATCTGATGGCAGGGGTCAAGCGTAAGGCCCGGCAATTCGGATTTGGAAAAGCGGAAGCCTAACTGAATATTTTTCCTGAATTTTATACTAATTGAACTTGAAAAAGAAATTTAATTTGATTTTTTAAATAAACGATTTCAACGATTTACACGCGTTTTCCCTTGACCAAATTTTGACCGTATCACCCTTTACTACCGTTGTCTTCAGCAAATTCATCAAATATATTTAAATCTATGTAGAACATGTCAAACCGTTTAGTTGAGATTATAAGACCAAAAAAGCCAAAACAGTGATTTTAAGGTACTCCTGTCAAGAGTTCACTTAAATATTGTGAAGATAATGATATAGAAGTTTGGTGTCTTGAGCAAAATTTCATAAAATTTGTTTTTCTACTACATTGCTCAAGACATAAAGCTATTATCTCGAACCAGTAAAAAAATAGTTTTTGTAAGTGTAATACCAGCTTAAAAAAAATTTGGGTTATTATTTCAAAAGACGTGGACCATTATTACGAGAAACTTCTTCCAAGACACCAAGTCTCTTAAACGACGATAAAGGGGAGAAAAGGTATTGACCGTCTTTTTCAGAATGGTCCCACTGTGCAGTGTTCGCGTCGCATCTCTTCACTTTGCTATTGCCGGACTGGCAACATTGCCTCTGCTACGCCACCCAACTGTGTCCATGTTTCAGCTGGTAGTCTTTTGTTATCATATAGCGAATTCGTTTATTATCGGAGTTGGAACCAGTTCCAACCCAGTGCGAAACCGAACTTTTTGTCAGTGCGAACCTCAACCTGAGCTGGGTTTTAAAAACAAACGATCAAACTGACGTTTGTCAGAAAACAAGCAGACCCAATCTTGATACCCGATCCAGGTTGGAACTGAATAATAAACAAATTCGCTAATAGACGAGTGCACGGATGGATTTGAGTTCACTCGCTCGACAAAAAGTGACACAACAGCGGGGCCCTGTTTACTAAAAATGAACACATACAGAGTGCGTGACGAATTTTTGCAGTAAATGGCATATTTGAGAAAAAATACACCAGTTAGTTATTCTAGCAATGAATTTTGTGCGATTTATTTTCTTTCGCAGCATATGGAAGTTGTAAGTAAATTTATTCAAAAAAATTGCCTTCCCTTTCGACGACTGTAGTTAGACGCTTCCGGAAACTGCAGTATGCACGTTTTAAAATGTTTCGATCCATAGATGTCATCACTGCCTTGATTTTAGCTTTTAGCGACTTAAGTGTGGTGTGAGGGGTTCTATTGATATCCCGTTGGACGACGCCCTATACAAAATAATCCAACGGATTGATATCGGGACTGCTTGGGGGCCAAATTTCTTCCTTCCAAATTTACGAAATATTTTCCGTAAGCCATTTCTGTGCTTTATTAGCAGTATGAGCAGGTGCTCCGTCTTATCACTTTCCCAAGCCTTTTTTAATATTATACACTGTTCTTTCAGACACATTTACCGACCGAATTATTTCTTTCATGCATACTCCGGCGCGCAACAAAGCGACAACGGCTGACAGATTGCTCTCTTGTTTCGACATCTTTACGTTTACTCAACATTGTTTGTTTAAATCTTACACCTAACAGTATAAGCTATCCAGTGCTGCCAAATATATCTAAATCATGATGCACAAGCATGAGAAATTACTATTTGAAATTTACTGCAAAAATTCGTCACGCACCCTGTATGTGTTCATTTTTAGTAAACAGGGCCCCGCTGTTGTGTCACTTTTTGTCGAGCGAGTGAACTCAAACCCATCCGTGCACTCGTCAATTCCACTCCTTCCATTTTGTCGACTCACCATTTTGTAGCCCAATTTTGTTTCTCTGAAAAAAAAAGGTCCAATTTGTGAGCGGTATTGAGAGCATGTAAACAAAGACAAGCAAAGTAAAAGATTTCAAGCAAAATAACATGAAAATTCAAAGTGATCGACTCCGCACCACTCAGGATATTGCCCTTGGAAATATCTTCGTAATTCCCTAAAAACTGTCCGCAGAATTCTTGTGGAACGATACCCTCAATATTCTAACCGCTTAATATATTTCATAAATCCTGGAGTCCTCTTTACAATCGTCATGGAATTATGCACATTCAGGACACATTCTTTATTTGCTACCCGTACCTTTCTTTGTTTGGTAGGTGGAACCCGGTCAGTAATCAACCGTTAGCGCAACCTTGGATGTTTGTATACCCACATATGCAAATATTTGATCCACTGGGTGCGATGCCACTTTTGGCTAGCCCAGTAGATGCTCCGAATCCGGTTAGACATAAATTAGATAATGGCACGCGGAAAGCGAAAAATAGCGTTCCTGAAACGAAATCAGTTTCGTCCAGCTCTGAATCTGGATGGTCGTCGGATAATGTCCGTGGATCGAGATTAGTTTCGAACATTTCGGAATCTGGAGGGTCGTCGGATAAATCGCGAAAACCTAGGAGCGGTCGTAAGTTGCAATCGCTCAGGAAGATATCATTCAGTTCGGAATCTGGATGGTCTTCTGATAAATCGCGGAAAGCATCACATGAAAAGACCGTCGTCGGATCGGGAAGGCCGAGACCTACCACGGATTGGTGGTCAAAGTACAACGGGTCTGATAGTACGTTTGAGACTGAACTTCTACGGTCGTTTGCATATCTCCTCTCGACACCCGTAATTCCCTGGAGTAGGACCAATGGCGAAGACGTAGGTTTCCTCTACTCGTACCCTGCGGAACGAGGTAATCTCACGCAGAAAATAGTCTAAAATTAACAAAATACGATCGAGAATGTCGGTTTAAAAAATAACTGCAGATTTCGCGAGAAATATCCGTTAGTTCGTTTCGAAGATCAAATGACCCGGAATAACGACAACCGAAACCCAAATGTGTATATATATTTTCTAATTTTCATTGTAAATAACACTACCATATACAATTTCTCTTCTCCGGTCATTGGTTGACCAGAAGGTAAATTGACGAACCATCAACCCGTTGTAGCGGAATGGCACCGATCCTTGCTGGAGGTCTAGTAGGCCAACTTCATTGAGGGAGTTGGCGGCACCAGCAATCCCGTCTGTAGTAAAGTAAGGCATTGGCGGCTTCTAGGTTTGACGGTAGGGCTTATTACGGATGTCACTTCATGGTGAAAACTTGTCACTTGTCGTCACGGTGAAGTGATTCCCTTTTGATTTGTACGGTAATCACAGCTCTTATTCTGATCACCGTGTAGTGACACCCGTAATAAGGCCCGGTATAAATTCGAGACTTGCGTTGCAAAATTATGTCCACCGGCACAACACTCTAGTTCCCCACTCAAGACTTGGTGTAACTCCATTCGATATGATGGTTGGATGGAGGTATCGCGGGACGTTCCCTTGCTTGTGGTCCGGTGACCTTGATTGTAATGAATTGGAAGAGAAAGACGCAGAAGTTAAACTTGCCAGCAAAACATACACTGATTCCGTGCGGGGAGCTAAACCTTCGAACATCCAGGTCGGCGACATCGTTTTACTGGCACAATCTAAGAAGAGCAAAGTTGATCCTACATGTTCAGCAGAGCGATATACGGTGATTGCCAGAGAAGGTACAAATGTAGTCGTCATGAGCAAAGCTGGAATACAATATGCTCGAAATATGCGAGAAGTGAAAAAGGCTCCAGAAACTTATAAATCCAACGGTTGTTCTTATGAGGCATCGGATGGAGCCGTAGCTGAACGAACAACTGATGAATCTAACGATGAATTAACACATGCTAATGAGGGACATGCAGCTCTTCCAAGGCAGATGGAGGGCCTTATTACGGGTGTCACTACACGGTGATAAGGAAGTGATACTCAGAATAAGAGCCGTGACCCAAGGAACAAGCTTCAGACTCCTGTTTGTCCCGGAACCTACGACAAAGGAACGTTATCAAGCGTCCTAAACGATTTGACGATCAGTTCGTGTACCGGGTTTTCTGGTAAGGATGATTCACTGAAAACATAAGAAAAGATTAGTGATAGAAATGCATTGAAATTTATGAAAAACCAATGCTGTAAGCAACTCAGAAACATCCACTCATAAATGCACAATACTTAATTAGGCCTATTCTGCGCGGCGTGTGAGGTGAGGTGACTCACTGTCACTAGTGAAGTGACAATTGTCACCTCGGGTGAGGTGACTCTCTATTTGATTTGCATGGAGAGTCACCTCACGCGAGGTGACAATTCCGGAGAACTTTGAGATTTGGGCGTTATTGCTTTTGTAAACAAACACGTCAATCGCTGATTTCTCGCGAATAAAATAACAATATTGCAAACAAACTATACCAAATGATAGAGGAACCTATCATCTACCTGTTTGTGTTATTACTTTTTTTTTAGATTGACCTTTATTTTGCGAGAAATTGGAAAATGACTTGTTTGTTTACAAAAGCAATTACGACCTAATCTCAAAGTTCTCCGGAATTGTCACTTCACCATCACTTCACTGTCACCTCACCTCCCACGCCGCGCAGAATAGGCCTAAATGTGAAATAAATGCGATTAATTTTCTTTTCACTGATGTTGTTCAACATGATACAATGACAGCTTGCTGTGATTTGACGACTCGAATATGTAAAGATTTTCTTCGTTTTTTGTTTGTGAGACAAGTGTAGAGGAGAAGGGAGATGTAGTAAATAAGGCACTAGCACAGCCGAATGAAAATTTAGGGCACTAGGTACGCGTAGAATATCGTTTTTTTGGAGATTTTCAGTCCGAACCCTAAAATTAAAGTTAAAGTTAAAGATCAGTCTTCAAATCAGTCGTAATAATTGATTAGATACTCACCATTCATAAATACGTCGGGAGGTGAATGAATTTTGCACCTGAAAATGCTTAGTCAACCTGAAAACAGAAGGTCAAGGCTGTAGTCACTACTTGAAGTACACCCACGCGACACAACAGCAACATCGGGTAGGGGAAATTTTCCCCTTCCTGACGATGCTGTTTGTTTGCGTGGGCGTTCTTCGGGTAGCGAGTAAAGGGCCCACAAACCATTTGTTTACAAATGGCTTTTGCGCCGTTTTCAAATGTTAGCACTTTGTTTATAGAAATATTGCACGTACCTGGCAAATACCATTATTGCCTTCTCCAAAAGAATCATCTCCAATCAGCTGATTACCCTAACATCCGATGGCAAGCAGACCGGAAAATAACTATATAATCAATGATTAACGCGCGCTATAAGATTTTTCTTTTGCTGAACACGATATTGCTTTTAATCGCCGGAAAACTCGCGAAATTTTCGTAGTAAATCGCTGGAGAACGATGACCCGCATGCACCTTCGTACTCGCCTCTATAGACCTTTTTGACGTTTAATCATCTTTCTCTATCTAGCACACATGAATGAATTGGCGTTGACGGCACCGTCGAAAAATTTGCTCTTGCAGCAAATTTAGACAGTTTTTTATGGGAATTTTCGGTGGAGTGACAGGATAGTACAAAGTCCGCCATGTTTCACGCACAGTCTGACGTTTGCTTATGGATTTTCTCATAGGAGTAAAGAGCCGTCAACACCAATGCACGGTTTGTTTTCCCACTAATCTGTTTCCCTCTCGCTCGCACTCGTTCGCTTAAAATGGTACAGTAGTGGGCGCCGATTAATCGGCAAAACCTCAATAAGTAAACAAAAGTTTGACAGTTCTCAACATATGTACACGAAACGAAAGTCAATTATTTTATTCATATGTTTCACTTATACATTTTTGCCAAAACAGCAGCCTTATACATTCCACAAGACAAACCACATAGGTCCTATAAGAATGCATAAAAGGTATGTGTGTCCGTTTATACATTTCATTTGACACATGATCTTCATTAACTTTTTGCAGGGCGTCTGCTTATTAGTTGACTTATACATTTTATGTATAATCAGCAATAGAAATTTGCCAAAAGGTATAAGGAGATTTCTATCCGTGTAGTAGGTTGGTATTTAATAAATTGAATACTTTTCTTCTTCGCTAGAGTGAAGAAGGTAAATGCATTAATTTTACAAAAGGGCCTGTAAAAATATATAATTGAATTGCATTCTAATTCGATCTAGCTTAAAAGTATTAAATATGACTCTAATTCAAAATGAACTTTGTTCATTTTGAAAAGGGGACGATAGGGTAATGTAACCAGTGGTTTCAAATTATTACTTGTAGGCTCCTCCACAAACTTATTACCGTATAATACGAATACGCCCTTCAGATTAAACTAGCACATTTACCTAATGATTGGTAACAGTGACACTCACTTTTTGGTTTGCGAGTGTGTGAGCCTGTTTCACTTCCACAGGTACCAATTTGGCGCCCAACGAAAAATTAGCTTGATTTTGATCCCCTGGTAGGAAGAGTAAAAACAGTGCCCTGTTTGAATAGTTTGCTTCGTTCTCCAAACGAAGATTAAATGTTGTTGAGACATCGAATTCGATTTTCTTATAATTGCAACAGTTGGACATTTGTGTAATTTTCAATAGTGATCTATTGAAAATGGATACAGTGTTCCCTAATAAACAAATACCATAAACGAACAGTATCCCGGATGGGTAAACTATCCCACAAATGGTTTGGATAATACCCGGAATACGTCGTTAAACTCTCTTTTATGGTTATTTTTATTAGGGTTCAGCTTCGTAGAAAAATTTCCAATCGATTGGCTTGTTCAGAATTAAAATCCATCCGCTATGGACAGAGTTATAAGCGCTCAAAACCTGACCACTTTTCGTAACGCGGTCGATTTTGTTTTTTTTTTTTAATTGCACCCCCAATATGTTTCCGAAAGACTTAATCCTACGTCAAAATATATGAATCATTTAATTTGTTTGTCCTAGTGCCCTACCTATACCTACCTGACATATATGCGATCAGCGAGCTTGCGCTTGGGTTGCCTCGCCTATATTGTTAATAATGCCCGTTCTACTAAATGTGGTGAGTCCGTCGAATAACTCTTTTACTTTTTAGTAGTACTAGTCTCAAGCTTCGAAATGGCTACCAGCATTAGCGTCCAGGTTTTCCACATTCTCCTCTACCAATAAACTGGCTATAAGTGATACTTGAAATTAATTAATTAATTTAGCTTTATTTAGGAGGCTTTCAGCCTTAGGCTGGTTCGCCTCCATACATACTTGAAATTAGTTAATGCTTGACATGTAGTTAGTTAATCAATTGGTTTAATTTCAAACTAATCCATAAGAAAAGACACTCTTCGATCTTCGGTCGATCTTCAATCTGAATCACACTAGATCGGAATCGAAGTCTTCCGACCATCTGTTTGTAGATTTATTAGTACTTATTGTGGTATCCCCAAAGATGAAAACATAAGTAGGAAATTCCCACGAGTGTGAATTTTATGTTTGTGTGTTCTGGTACATACAGCTCAGAATTAACCAAGTGGAGAAAACGCCACCGGAAACCGTAACATGTAGAAACAGTTCACTTATAAGTAGGTATAGGGTGAGAAAGTGGCAAAGGGAAAAGGACCCCTGCTAAAGAGAAGGAAAAGGACATTCACTTCAATAAATCCCAGAGTGACGACGACGCGTAAGTCCTTGAGAGACGACAGAAATGTATCAGAAAAGATCCGTTTATTGCCTGAGCGGTTTGCGGTGGGAAGCATTTTTTTTATATAAAAAAAAGAAAAAAATCTTTGGACGAAAAAGGATACGGTGCAGAAGGATGCTGAAAGGAAGGTGTCGATCAATAGGGTGGATCATTTTTTACGTGATTAATAATAATCTTTTTGCGTTTTAATTTTAAATTCAATGTTTTCGGGATGCCAATCAAATAAGAAGTCATATTATGATAATTGCGCTCCACAGTCGCTTGTTATTATGCGGTTTATAAACTGCGTAGCTCCACCTCTCTGTTCAGGTAATCCTTACTCATGCCTAGCATAAACAAAATGTGCACCTTGCGTGGATTCCCCTTCCTTCAGTGTGACATAGCCTACTGAGGGAGAACTAGTCAACACTAAATGTATGGGAATGTGTAAGTCGTATTTCTCCCCTCTCAATTTCGTTCACCCTAACTACATATAACAGTTCCTGTCCCTACCTACTAAGGTACATTTACCAAGAAGCCTTGCACAGTCCGTCGGATCGAAAAGTGTGGGAATTTTTGCTTCTTTCCTTTCTTCCACCCTCCCGCGAAGTGGTACGGTCGGACGGACGGACGGATTCACATTCACTCTCGTTTGTTTGGGTATTGCGTTTAACCCTCACCTTGTCTTAGCTCATGCGAATAAGAGGTACTGAAATAAGTTGTTTTAGGTATGACTGATTGTTAATTAGTTTGACAAGTTTTGAAAACCGTTTTGATTGGTTATTAACTACCATAGACCAAAACCATACTAAGCAGAAAATTGGCTTAATACAAACATGGAACATGTTTAACACCCACATATTAACAGAAAAAGCGACGTGAGCTACTATCAAATTTCCAGTCACTACAGGGTTAATGGAATTGCGTGTGTTTGGGAATTCTCGTTTTACAGTATGGATAATCTGTATCACATTTCGGGGTGCTTTCAATGGTAGTAGGGTCAGGGGGTTTATTATTAGCAGTTGCCTCTATTCTGCGTCTATGTTATGTAAGTAATGTTAAGGTTGGAAGCAAAAATTTTGTCTGAATTTCCCAATCAAATGAGACTAAATGGATTGAACTTATTCTTAGCTTACTAAAATTTTTGAGCTATACGCCGAACATAGAAGCATTTGCCATGTTTGGAACCCGTAGCCCTGTTTGGTATAGGAATACTCTGTCTGTGTTTGGTTGATTCATTCCATCAGTAGGCAATCATATCTATCTATTCACACCAAGCGGTTTACGCATGTGTGTAGCTGAACAGCTCATGTTTCTTTGCCTGACGCGTGTATAAGAGTACGACGAAGGATATTTTGAAGTGAAAGCGTGTTTCTTTTTTTGGGCAGGCAGGCAAGGTATTGTAGTGATTTTTTTCA